AGGAAAAATGAGCCTCTGCCTGAGCTAGATTGACTTGCAGGATCTGTGTGTTGCCAGCGAGGCAGGTGACCTGAGTGCTCAGCTGAGCAACTGCCCAGGGTCCTCCTGAGATCAGGGTAAGAACTTGATCCTAAATTCTTACTTCTCACCTTTTTTCAGAAAACTTGAATGTAAATGATCACCAACCCATAGAAACAAAACAAGTCTCCAAAGCCTGGTGAGACAGAGATATTTCCATTTATAGATGCGTGCTGTGGTTCCAGTATCGGTGCTGTTTGTCAGTCCAGCCCTGCTATTGTGCAATGATTTGCTGGTGAAGTGACTGCAGGGACCTCCAGCACTCCCTGAGCCCGAGAACAGCTTGTGCCTCCCTTAGCAGTCATCATTTCAGAAATGTTCACTTTATGCTGTTGTATTCTTGCATATGCTGGAGTCATAATTCATTTACTTAAAATAGAGAGCTTCAGGAGTCATAATTAAACTGTGTGAGCTCTTCCTATCCTCCTTTAAGCAACCTTTCTCATCACCAACAGGCAGATGGAGTTGAAGTTGATCCCTCTTCTCCTGGAAGCAACAAGTTAAAATATTTGTACATGCAACTGAATGTTTACAGCTACAGCAGAGTAATTAAAACCTTACTGACACAGAGAGGAGTGCTTGGCAAGAATCCTTTTCAATAACTGGGTGTAAAAATTGTCACCTCGGGTTCATTTTCTAGGAGTGATTGCTTTACCAATACCAGTGAAGCCTTCCCATTTCTGTGTATCTGGTGGGAGCATCCTTGTTTGATAAACTTGAGAGCAGTTGCCATCCAGCCCAGGCCTTGCTCAGGAGATTCTTTTCCTCCCAAAGACCCAGACCCCACACACATGCTGAGACTGTTTCCATCACTGGGGCTTTGTGGTAGAAGCATGAGACAGGAGGTGAAAAAAAATAAGCTGCAGGAGAATAACCTTGTTTGACTTTCAGTAGCTGGCTCAGAAATCTCAGAAGAGGGAGGAGTTGGGTGCATTCAAACCAAAACCAAACAAAGCCTCCACACCCCTTGGTGCTGGCTCCCCTGTGTCTCTCAAGGAACTGGTGAAACATCCCCAGTGCCACAAAGATTCCTCAGACAAATCTGGCATTTATCAAATTTAAAATTCTTCTGTTAGTTTGGTTTCTCATTCTTTTATTTGCTTTGTAAGAACCTTAGAAAATGCTTGCTATTTTAAGACTTCCTTCCATGACAAATAATTGTAAGTAAAATGTTTGGAATTTTGCTGAATGTCAACCCAGGTAGGAAGAGCTGCTCAAGCAGAAGCAGGTTTTGCTGCAGGGACTAATCTTTGGAAATGTGGCTCTCCTGGTTGCTTTTTGTCCTTGTATGGAGAAAAATCAAACCCATGATGTGCACAGCACACGTCAGGGTTTGTGGCACAGAAATCAGGTACTGTGTTGTCTCTCAAGCCACTTTAAATACAGCTTGCACTGAAATCGCTGCAAGAAACTTCCTGCTAAAAATACATCAACATCCTTTCATTTAAAGTGCATTCACTTCAGCAGTCGGTTTGGATTGTGGAGATTCCTGGCACATTCCTGAGGGAAAGGCGCTAATGGGTTTGGTGATGTTGATGGAACAGGGTTTTCTCCCTGCTGCAGTTCTGTCTCTTGATGGTGGTTTTTTGTTTGTTAAAGCAAATGTTCCTCTAATGCCTTCATGTTCATACCTGTGCCGTTTTCTAGAGAACACTCATTTTGTTACTGTAAATCATATTTTGCTATTGAAAATTTTATGGCTAATTTTTTTTCTCTTTTTAAACTGGAAACATGTATTTAAGTTCCATTACAGGGTGCCTGTTACTCAGCTATACCTTACCAGCCTTTCTCCTCACACTGAGGAGACACCCATAGCTGTAATCATGGTTGTGCTCTTGCTTAATTATTTCTTTGCAGTCTCTGCTGTTTTGAAAACCAACGTGCATGTAATCCCACATTACATCGTCAGCGTGGCCATACAGCTTTGCAGATTTCCTAGAGCTGATGTGCATTAGCTGCAGCTCATTATCCAACAGCTCGTTAGCGTTCAGTGGAGAGCTTCTGAAGACAAAGATACACCCAGAAGTGAGTGAGTAAAGCCCTTCCTGGCTTTACTGAGATGCTGCGTGTGCCTGCTGTTCATTCCCCAGCTCTCCTTTGGGGAGGGTGCACTTGCTGTCCAGGCTCCTTTCACTGCGGTCGTTATCTGGAAATGGCTCTTGCTGTCTGCCTGGCGATGGTTTCCCGATCCTCAGCTCCTGTGGGGCAGGAACGAGTGACTGACGGGCTGCTGGCAGCAGCGAACTTCACTTTCCTTCAGTGGTTTCAGTGTTAATTTAATTTCCTCAGGCAGCACACTATGCCTGCAGGAAAGGGACCCCAGCACTTTTAGCTTCGGCTGTTTCTCCTCCAGCTCCAGTGAGAGATGGTGCCTTCCCCACCCTGCAGCAAGCAGGTGAGTTCCCCATTTCCCAGGGACACAGGAGGGACCCTGTTTGCCACTCGGCCCCTCTATCTGCACACGGCTGGCAGCAGGGTCAGCAGCAGCACTGCTCAGCCCTGCATGCTTTGCAGGACAGTGTGTTCCCTTCTCTCTGCCCAGAGGGGCTCATGCAAGGTCAGAGGGCAAAGCTCCTGAGCTGCTCCAGCCCAACAACTCAAAACCCACCTGGCAGAGATGAATCAAGGTTTGGGGGTTTTTTAAGGCCTCCTGTTCAAGAGCTTTTTTAAGACCTGATCCTTAAAACTGATGTTGCTTTGAGTGTAAGTTTGAAGTGCGAGAGTCACACTCCTGACAAAGGAAAGGGGCAATGGAAGTTGGTATTTATAAGGAAAGCTGTTATAAGGAAAGCCAGGTATATTAAGTGTACATTGACAAATAAGGACTAAAATGCAATGATTTATTGCCAAACCTATTTGACAGCCTCTTTCCAGTTTAGACTTGTTGGTCATCAGATCCTTGTACATATTAGCATAAGATGAAATAACATATGATTGGCTTTGACAGTTCTTAATTAGCTGATTGCAGGATTTCTCTGCTTTTTTGTTGTTGTTGTTGTTGAAAGCACCGTTCTGTGCATGGGCTCCTCTTGGAGCTGCTGCAAACATCCCTGTGGAGCTGTTTCAAGAGGAGCAGTGACTCTTCCCATCTGACAGCAATGTCCCATTGTCTTCCTGGGGCATGTCTTGAGACATGGCAGCAGCAGCAGCAGCTCAGCTTTTCCCTTTGCAGGAGCTGATTTGTTTCAGCTCCCCGGGGCTCCATTATCAGCTGGAGCAATGAACCGATTCCCTGGCAGCCCCTCCTGTCCCTGGAGCTCTGCAACAGTGCACCGGGTCTGCTGGAGTTTCAAGCACTCTGTGATTCACTCCTCCGGAGAAACACGATCACCTGAGGATTTTCTGAGCCAGACAAGTGCAGACACCTAGAGAAGATCATGTAGCAAGCCATGGGAGTGACGCTCCCCAAAGCGTTCCCACTTCCTCTGCCAGCGCGGCTCCTCCGTGCCCCGGCAGGCGTGGGTAAACACCAGGATTGTTTCTGCTGGATGATCTCAAAGCTCTCCCAACTGTCTGCTGCAAACACTTGCCCATTGCAAGGAAATGACTGTTTGTTTGTGTTAGCAGTCAGGAATGGGAAATGACGTGAACACTTAACTGTTTTTCCTGGTGTTTCTAAGAGGTATATTCAGTGTCCCAGGTCTTATTTCCAAAGGTGTTCAGTGTTTTCTGAAACTCTAGTATAAGTACTAGAGGTATGTGCATGCACATAAATATACGTAACATCAGGATATAGCTTCAAGATCTTGTGTATCCACCTGGTAACATTTCACTGGTGCCCTGCTGTGATTATGCTGGAACATAATTTGATATGTTCTCCCTCAGTGCTGAAGTGAAACAGTCCCCAGGTCTTGTTTTCATAACTGGGATAAATCTGTGATTCTGCAGTGTGCTGCAACCTCCCTGGAGGAAAAGGAAGTCAAAATTCACACTTGTCATCCTGATTTCACCCAAGAACCAGTTTTATCTACATCTGCTGAGTTACTCTGCACATTTAATTTTTTTTTCTATGTATTGCTCCTCCGTTGCCTTGACAAAGAAAAGGTCCAATGTTCTTAGCCTTTTTCATTGACAATAACTTTTTGTTCTGATTTCTTTGGTCAAGGTATTTTTCTAAACCAATCATTTCCCTTCAGATTTCTTGAAAACAACTGCTGGCATGTGTGTCCTGTGATTTCCCCTCCCCATGCATGCACTGTCCTGCAGGACTGAGGCAGCTGCAGGTGTCAGAGCTGGTTACAGTCACTCAGTGACTCTGGGTTCCCACAGGTGAGATTGGCACTTCTGCACCTGCCTGGCAAAGCATGATCCCTGTCCATGACCAGAATTCCAGGACATAGGGGAAAAAAGGGTTTGTGTTGAGCTTTTTTAATCAGATTGGGCACAACAAAACATTTAGCCTGGCTGTTGGGTGCTAAGATAAAGTACCACGTGGCACTTTTATCTCTGTAACTTCTGCTCCACTCCCTCACCTTTCCCCAGGCAGCAGCAGGTTAAACCACCTGGTGAAAATCAGAATTCAGTGTAGGTACTGAGGAGCAGTGAAGCTACAAGAACAGCCCTGCAGTGTCAGGAAAACACTGACCCAGCCACGAGCTCAGTGTTGGAGGGAAGTGCTGTGCCTCCAGCAGGCCCTGGCACACAGACTTGTAAACCAGCTGGGAACCCTTTTTGGTTTTTTTCTCAGTGAATGTTAATGTTTGACTTTATCACCTGATGCTGATCGATGGATGACACAACCCCAGTTCTTCCGAGAATCAAACCGGAGTAGCATTGTAGAAGAAAAAATATAGTAGTTAACAACTTTTTTAAACTTCTCTTTCTCCTTTTTTTTTTTAAGAAGCACTTCTTTGCATGGGTTTTTTTTTTTTTCGTATTTCCATGCATAAGCAGAAAAGTAACCCAAAACATGCAGGGGGAAAGAAGGTTTGATTTCCAAACTTTATTATTCATATCAGAGCATACTCTATAGACTTCTTACAAACAAAGATTTGTCTGTATGAATCCAACGCAGTAATAGCTGCCCTTTTAGAATTAACATCTCGACAATGAAATGTCAAATAAAGGGAAATACTTGTTGTATGAAACAAGATTAATGTTCACCTCAAATATGAAACTGGCATTTAAGCAGGAGTTTCTGATAGCAAAGAAGTCCCTGTGGTAGCTGTGGGGGGAGGGACGTAGAGAAATGCCTTTGCTATTTCACTTAGTTTGGTCTCTAAAATAGAGAAAATTATTAATTTCGTATTAGTATGAGTTCAGTTTCCATTAATGCCACTTCCATGCATCCCTAAGAAATGAAGGATCTGATTACAGAACTTGGTTTTATTGTGCAGTAATTGTGGTACAAAATGACTGTTGCAAGAAATTATTTCCCCAGGTAAGAAAATGAGCACTCAACAATATATTGGTAATGATGAAGTAAGAAATTTGAGAATTACTTCTTCACCTAAAATTCATGGTTTATTTCATAGTTCCACTGAAGGAATTTTTCATTTTCTTCAATGATCAGTCACGACTCACCCCTCTGGTATGTATATACAGAAGTGTTATGTGCCAGCCTCAGCAGGTACAACCACAAACCAAATGAGCGTTTTTACAGAAGACAGTTTGCTTTTATAGTGATCACGCACTGATGTGAACATAGACTAAAAATAACAAATGTTGTTTTAATAAGGATTTTTTACAGTAGGCATAGATATAAAAGTTTTTTCAAATTATTTTCACAGGTATCACTGAACATTTCATAGCTGTCTGTTACAGAAGCACCGCCAAGTGCTTTGAGTCTTTCATTTATTATACACAGTTAAAATATATTACATTTCTGAAGGTATCTTAAATCACTGAACAGTTTTGCTAGCATCTTAATGAGCCAAATGGGAGTAAAAGGCAGTCCACATTCATGATGTGAATATACAGTAAGGTGTTTGACATCCTATGAACTCATTGCTCATGTTCTCAAAATAACCATGGTGATGAGACCTGAAAGACAAGAATTAAGAACTAAACACTTCTATTTCACTCAAAATAGAACATTTAAAATAGAGTTTACCCTGTCACAGGCCAGAAAATATGGTAGGAGTACACAAATGCATGCAGAATGCATTTAGATACACACTTAAATATTAGAAGTATTGCTCCAAATTTTGACATAGTCAAAAATCAGCAGTGATGTGTGGTGCATCTAATAACTGAATGTCAAAGAAGACAGCAATATTCCAAACAACTATTGACCTCTCTACTGGAAAATCTTAACATTGAACTTTTGACTTGGGTAAGTGTAACACTAGCACCCAAACCCCATTCCTCACAGGGGCCAGTTATGGGCAGTGTCATTCCAATGCTGAATCACCAGTAAGGCAGATCAGTTGAAGGCTCCAAGGCTTTTTTCTGCTCTGTGAATAATAACTGATCAAAGACCAGTTTTAGACAAAGATGTTAAGCTTCCTTGTCAGTTTGCAGAGGGAGCTTTCAACAGACTCTTTGTTGTGACCTTTAAAGAGGGAGGAAAAAAAGGCCTGCTCTGATAGAGGTTAAAAAGAATTAAAACCAGATGAAAACAGGAAACAGGGGCTAATAAACCTGCTCATGACACACTGAAAAGTTCATTTTAATTATGTGCTGATACAGGAAAAAGTGCAAATCTGCAGGTCTTAGCCATGGGTTATATTGCACAAGGTGAGGCAGATGGAAGAACATAGGGGCTCACTGAATTACACCCTTATGTAAGATCAAAATAACAATTTATCAGTTCTTGAGCAATCTCACTTTCTTGCAGGCTCAGATGATGTCACTGTAACTACTTTTCACTGCAGAAAGCTCAGCTAAAACCTACAGATCTCACCATGCATAAAGACATTTCTGAGACTATTTTATCTCCTGCCACTCCATACTGATGGAACTTGGCTACTTTATGAAGATGGTGAAGGGAGAAGCACAACAGAACAGAGCTGCAACACTGCCTTCCATTAGATCAGCAATTCACCCCTTAAAGAGGAGCTACAGCTCAGCTATTTATTGAGGTCTGTACTGGTTCAGACAATCAGTGCTCCACAGCTGCTGGATCCTCAGCTTGGATCAATTCCATCATCTCAGAGCAACAGCAGAGGCTTCTGGAGAACAGCCTGCACCACTTGTACAGGGGCTTGCAGACAACAAAGGGTTTAACTCAGTTCTGTAAATCAGATACTACTCAAATATCATACAGTCCTGTTGGTGTGGTATAACAACCCTTTCCAATTAAATGCTCCACAATCCAGTTGTACTTCTTGTGGAACAAAGTGGTTTCAACTTCTCAAGAGCAATTGACTTTCTACATGAGCAAGAGTCACACACAAAAGAATCTGTCCATGAGCACTAAAAGCACTGCCAGCAAAGAAGTCAAAACCTCTCAAAACTTCATAGGGAATCTAGAAACAGATTCAGCTCTTGCAAAAGTATAAAGTCAAAAGGCTTAAAACTCTGGCTGACACCAGCAGGACATGGAGTAATTTTCAAAAGCAGAGATAAAAACAAAGTGAGGATTACTGCAAGGTCCTGATCTGAGAATCTATCAGCATCAGCTTGGGCAAAGAGCCACAAGTGAGATTTCTAACCACTTCAGCAGATGGACCTTTGTGAGTCAGCAGAGTGTGCATGAACCATCAGAACTTGCACCTTTCCCCATCACTACCTCACCTCTAGCTATCAGTTTGGAGCTGCCTAGCTCTTTTCCTTTAAATCCTCATTTCTGCCAGGTAGTGGGAGAGGAGAACTGAGTTTAGTGTGACTGTTCTTCAAATCTGAAATAGTTACAGAGAAATAGTCATAACAAATGAAATGTGCAACTCATTTGTTGCTAATGCTAAACACGCAAGTTACCAATCAGGAAGAACTGTGGATGGTAATGGTCTCAGACAGGGTTTATAACTTATTGCTACACATATCAACTCCTTATGAAACAGGTACTGAGACTCAAGCCTTAAAAAACAGCTCACAGGGGGCTGGAGAGAAACACAGTAACACATTTCACATTCTGCAATAGAGTAACTATTGCAATGCAGGAGTAAGAAACAGCACATTCCGTTCAGGTGTGGTGGCAGATGACTGTTGCTGGCCCATCATCAAATAAAGCTGAAATTAGCATGTAGGGGCCTGTGTGCAATAGGTATCAACTCAAATCTGGTCTAAAACACTTACAATAACTAATTTACCCTGCTATCACCATGGCTACAACTTAGGATGTAAGCTGAGATGCAGAACAAAACCTAACGTGGTGCTTTGTTTCCATCCAGTTTCCTGAGGCCGCTGGCAAAGACAGGTGAAGTTTTCCAAACTCATAGATTTTGCAGGAAAACGTTTATAAAATCCAAAGTACTTACCTAAAACATAAGCAGCTACTAACTTTTGATTCACACTTAAGTGGAGGTAGAGAGGCACCAGGGATTCCATTTCCCCCAATGTAGGTAGCATTAGTGCTGCGACACACACCACTCCAAGGAAGACTGTGAGTAAACTAGGTCCCGACGAGGCAGTTCTGTTTTCTGAAACAGCAAAACAGCACCAATTGTAAGGAAGATCTAAATAATATAAACATTAAATATTTTGGAAAAACGTCTGCAGTACATGGGAGCTGAAATATCCTCGGATTTTCCTTTTTGCTCTGGAGTTTGCAGGGGGTGGAAGACAAGTCTTAAACCCACCCTTCTAAACCTTCTGCATTCTGCAGTGGAGGAGGCTGCTCCCTGTTCTGATGCTGGAACTTGTTTTCACATGACTTCCCAAACCACTCCCTTCTGGAGGAACAGAGCCTGCCAGGCCCAGTTGCTATATATACACACTCAGGACAGCTGGATGTCTCAGCAGTGCTTCAGGTTTCCCTGTGCATCCTGACTCCAGTACTTGATATGTTCCTTCGGTGATCAGTAATCAATCAGTCAGAGCACCCAAAAGACCTGCACAGGCAGGTAACTGCTCACACCTCCTGAATAAAACCTGCTGCAGGAGCACAGGTTCTTGGGCCAGATGACCTCCCTTTCATTCTTTACAGGGTTCAAGGGCTATACCTGAGCCAGTCAGTTTAGATGCCACAAATCAGGAAAATTTCAATTTTACTTTAAAACTGTGCGAGTGAACGGCTCTGACAGTCCAGTATTATCAGAATAAGAAAATGCAAACCACAGACAATAAAGAGTCCTTCATAGTCTTTACTGTCCTGCACTTTAACAGCTGGAACCTACTCAAAGGCCCACTGTGTCATCTTTGAAAAGAGCTGTTACCATGTTAGCTGAATACCTCTAACCAAATCCTTAAGACCCACAGGAAAATAGCCAATGTTTTTATCAACTTCTCCTATCCTCAGTGACTAGCAATATGTGCTCTATTTTAATTCCATAAATCTCTTGTTTCCAGGTTACAGGTTACATGTAAACTGCAGTTCTTTGTTTACTGCTTCTTCTTTTACTGCAATATACCATAGTCAATGAGGTTTTTGAGCAGAGAAACAGCATTTGGAATAAGACCAGTATCAGATTGTTCAGGGTGGCTCAGGCCCTCTGTCCTGGATCAACTATCACAGGAACATTTTGTTCTGTGACCCCAGAGACCTTCGTAGGTTTGCTTTAACTGTGTATCCTACTAATATCTATTATGAGGGGTTTTTTTAAATAAAAAGTGTTTCACCAGCAACAAACTCAGTATAAACAGTGAAACATTCATTTTAACAGCATGAATACTGTCAAAGAGGTTCATCTATTTTCTGGTATTGGTTTTTGTTGTCCTGAAAAATATAAGTGACAAGAACATTTCAGTATGAATCAGTAAAAGAAGAATGTAGACCATCAAGAATCAGTTTAGATTCATTTCAGGTACAACTTGACACTTATCCCTTCAATTTTACTGTGTGGCCCAGGTTTTCAAGCCTGTTGATTCACTTCCTCACTGTGTGTATGAAACACACAGTTTTCAGCCACCAACTGTGCTCTTCTGTTCTTGTGGGACAGACAAAGGACAGGGCACAGAACAAGGAGCACTTCAGAAGATGTTCTGGCAATATTTCCTGCTCATCAGGAAATGGGGGATTAAGGGTTTGGAACAAACTCACAAGGGGCATATGTTTTGAAAGAGCCCAAGGGAAAAAAATAACTAGCATCCTTTCACAGATAAATTCCCATTGTCTGTATGAGAACTCCTGCTCCAGAGGAACAGTGGATGCACTCTCCAAGGTATGACATGCAAACACAGGGCAGCAAAGGTCTTGATTGATCAAGACAGCATCAACAGAATAGTCACAGGTTGGGTTCTTGAATACTGTCATCCTCAAGTGATAAAGACAGCAGTCTTACAGGCAAGCAAAATGAAATATTTTAAAATGTATTTCTGTTTATATTTTTAAAATGTTTTAAGTCTAGTCACTTGAGCTATTCGAAACCAATTCAGAACAGAGGAGGGGAAAAAGATTTCAGCTACCTGGTTGACACAAAGTCTGCTCAAAAAAGACACTTTCAGCCAGGTGTTCTTTTATTCGTTTTTCCTCCTCTTCCTTTTGTTGTTGTTGTTCCTTTGCAGATGGAAGCAGAGTAGCAATAATCTCCTTTTTCCCTAACGCTTTCCTCTGGCTCTGCTCAGACACTTGGAGGCGGAATTTATCTATGACACCATAGTAAGAAGCCCGAACGTCTCTGTGACGAATCACACTGCAGAAAAACAACATTTTCAAACAGATGAATACTAAGAAGCATGCCTGTTGTAGAATTACATTCTATATATCACTAAGTCTGCCCTCTGTCCCCCTCCTCCAGATAAACTGGAATAATCCAGACCTTCTCCACCACTCAATGTTCTGGAAGCCCTGATCTTACCTCCTCTCTCCCCTCCTTATGTTTGCTTAATTCTCAAATAGAAATGCTCCTGTCCAAACAGGACAGTTAAGTCTTTATCTCAAGCCCATCTTTGCCTCAATCTGAGGTCCTGCAGCCAATTGATGAAACATCAATTATCTGAAAGATGCCTCCTCCTCCTGTATCAAAGCTGTCTGATGCTGGCCAGTGATTTTAGAAGGATTGAGAGGACTGGAGTGGCCAGGGAAGGAAAGGAGTTGGACAGGTGTTTGGCAAGCAACAGTCCAGCTCCTGGAGGAAACCAGGCTCAAAGCTTTACACTTCTACTTTCTCAGAAGCAAAACTCATTCCCTCTATAGACAAGAGTCAGCTAGGGATTTTCAAAATCAGAAACCCACCACTGAGAGCATGTTTGGAACCTATAAAAAGCACAGCTTTAAAATAGCACTGATCAACAGCAAAACAGACCTCTGAGCAGTGCTGTGCTCAACTGCCTCCTCCCTGCATTTGTGATTCATCATGAGAATACATATCTAGCATTGAAAAGCTACAACATTTAGGTTTTGAAGTGGTATCAGCTCTTAGGGTAAATAAGGATTTCAACTATTTTTCCAGATGTTTTTTGTTAAAGGTTATTCCAAGTTTCCAAGATAACAGCAGCTGATCTGAAGAACATACATACAAAGAAGAAGGTTGCCATCTCATGAGGGGAAAAAAAATTACTGTACCCTTAGTAACACAGAACAGTAGCCTTAAAATTGCTTCAAGAAACCAATTACATTAAAATGCTGCAAGAAATGGATTTTTATTTTTCAGCCCTTATTTAAAGGACCTATACCACACCAAGATATCTTACAAGCATTAGCACGTAGCCAGTGCTTGCAACTGGTATCTGGTTTGAATAGACTATTCAGCACAGAAACAGAGACCAAGTCATCCCCTCAGCAAGAGGCTGCAGTGATGTTTTACGTCACTTCAGAGGCAAAGGAGGGTGCCTATGACAGGCTTCCAGCAAGTGGAGTGTTGGCTGGGCAACTGCCTTCACTAAAACAAAACCTTTTCACCCCCACAACCCTAATTCATCCAGCTCTCAGCATATCAACACAGCAGATCAACTCTGATTTCTTCCTTTAACACTTCCTTTTAAATTGGTGCTCCTACTCCTAGTACCATGGTACCAACTACCAACCTAAACAGAATCTTTACATAACACTGTGCTAGGAGAACATGTATCTGCTGCCAAGCAAGGAGATATTTTCTGCAGACCCTTATAAACAGACACATTCTCCTGTTTCTTTTTAGAGATCATTGCATAATTGGAAGCTCTGTAGAATATCTGTTTATCTGGCAAATGGCCACACTTGCATAGTGCTGCTCATATCCTAGCAGTAAACACTGTCCTTAGACAGCAACCACTGGAATGGGATGGGGGGTTTTGCTACACAGAAAAATCCCCTTGGAACATGTCTCTGTCTTATTTTCCTTTATTTAATAAAACACATTTGTTTAACCAAATGTAATCAAGCTTGTGTAAATGTCTTCTGAAGAATGGATTAGCTCACTGGTACACTGGTATAGTCTGACCTGTTTAGTTCCATTTTTAGCATTGTTGTCCCTGCTTACTGAAACCTTCCAGTTTCATGTTCTAAACTTTCTTTCTATTTAGTGAGTCCTTGGAATTTTTCAAATTGCACCCAAGGAAAACAGTCTATAGGAATAACCATTCCCCTAGAACAGTTATTATTTATCTGACAAAGGGTTTCTCTATATGGCCATTTGTCAGACAGAGATTCCATGTGGTGTTTTAGTTTGGAAAATGTCTATTCAAAAAGTTCAGTCTTCTCTGTGAGATACTTCAGATTTTCTTCAGCTGTATCTGTACATCAGCACAGAAGTAATGTGGCAAATAGAAGATAAAAAGGGTTGGTCTGTTTTAGCTTTTACACCTACTCTGTTTCAGCTTTCAGCAGCCCACAGACCCTGTACATTACAGTGGTCACTTAGGCAGCCTCCTTCTGCTCTGAGTTACTGGGCTGACACCTGACAGGAGAGAAAAAGAGCAGACACAGAGACCTGAGAATGAGATGGGTGGTCAGAGTGAAAGGCAGGCTAAACTACCTTTGTAAACATAGCCCAGAAAAATGTGTCCAGTAGAACTGCACGCATTTCCATTTTCCCAATCTGCAAACAAGCATTTCTCACAAACAAATTTCAACCCTGGGGGTTTTGTTTTTCTTGTTATTTCTAACAAAAAGGTGCTCAGAGAAGGCTCATATTACTCTCGCTCCTGGTTTACAAACTACACTACAAGATGCATTTACTGGCATATCATTTATGCCCAAAGGCAAAATTCAAGAAGTATATATCTCCAATATTGTAATACCTCTGCTCTGGAGGGAAAGAACAGCAAAAATCAGAACAAGTATATACAGGAGATTAGGAAAACATATCTTTATCCAACTTACATATTATAACATGCATGCTGTCATTTACAACCTCTTAAATAATAAAAGAAATTGAGGTAATACAATGTTGTATATCAGGAAAAAACCCAACCAACTTCTACTTACATATCAACACAGCACTGAGGCTTCACTGCACCAGTAGCATCCACCACCGAATATTTATTTGGAGTTGTACAAAGAACTGCAAGGAGAAGGACAGGAGTGGTAACAAATCATGAACTAATACATCACCAGCTTCATCAACAGATACATGTAGAGAAACGAGTTTGGTTTTGTCACAAATATGATTTGTTACATGAATTATAATTGGACTGTTCAAGATCATCAACTAGCCCTTAAATAGAACTTAACCTAAGAAACCCACCTTTGAATTTTAAGGCAAACTCATAGGGGTTATATAGAGTCAACACCTGCTTGTGTGTTGACTGGTCATCTGCATAAAATATAAGTTCTGTAGGAAAAACAAAAACAGGAAGATTTCCTTCCACTAACTCTGGCTGTCTTTTTTGTTGCTGCATTGGCACTGAATCCTCCTTGCTGCTTCTTGTGTTCTTATGCTTTTGTATCCTCAGAGACTTCAGCTTTTGAATCGTTTAAGAATTCCAAAGCATTTTGGCAATTCTAAAGGAAAAAAAGGGGAAAAAAAAGAGAAAAGGCAAGAAGATTATTTCCATAAGTCTATACTAAACTGAGGCAGTTAATAAAGGTGCAAAATATAAAACATGATGCTTGATTATGCTCTACTTATGCTACTTCAAAAATACTGAAATAGAAAAAATACTTGCACTGGGTTTCCATCTATTTAACAAGCTGCTACAAAATAAATGGATAAGCACCTCTCCAGTGGCATTTGGGGGCCCAGCCCATGACTAGGGCTGCTTATGCTGGGTCTTTGCAACACAAACCAAACAATGACAGCAGAAAGAAATCCCATCCTTGCCTCAGGACAGCAACACATCAGAAACACGAGGGCAGAAAGGAGGAAACACAAGGACACTGAGGCAGCAGGAGTCACTGTTTGGGCAGGAACCTTTCCGTGGGGATGACCTCCCTGGATGAGGTATAACACGTCAGGAATCTCCTCACCTAGGCACCCAGGTATGTCAAATCCCAGGGATTCAGAACAATGGAATGGGGAACACCTGCATGCCTTGTTTAAAACAAACTCCCTGTTCCAACTGCAGTTACAGGTAATGAATGGAAAAATGACAATGAGTAACAGCAAACAGATTTGGGATTCACTATTTTATTAAGAGATGACAGGTTTCTCCAGCACTACCTCTAACCAAACTACAATCATCACAATTTTCCCTCTGCCACCCCCCCACAGTTCTGTTTTATTTTGAGTGACATTCCAGAACTAAAACCAGGACCAATGACCCAACCAAGAAACAATCCCAAATGTAATTCATAAAATAAAATTAAGGCCAGACTCCCCAGCACACATACCATTGACTCAACACATGACAGAGAGAACAAAGTCTTTCTCCTCCCCCAAAGAAGGTCATATTTTACTGCAGCTTCTATAGATTAATTATCAAACTGAAGGTGTCCTTTGAGGTCTAACTTTATAGCAAAAAATATTGAAACAACAAAACTTCCTAATGACTCATTAGATGTCACTTCCACTTCCCACAGAGCTTTTTAAAATAAGGTACATTTTACCTGTTCTCCAGCTCAATACACTGGATAGTTGCACCTTAAAGACTTTAGCTTCTGAAATTTCTAGCAGCAAATAACCCAAACATTATGAACAATCAAAAACAAACGCTTGTTTCCGCATTCTAAACTTCACAACGACCACACTTCCAAGCACCAGATACATATTCCATACTTGAAACATGACACACGTTCACGTGTTTACAAAAGTATATCTGTCACACCATCAGCTTTACAGGTTCTGATTCTTACTTACAAACTAACCTTTCAATTTTATTTATTTATTAAAATAGCAGATTATCCCATAGAATTCAAGTTCATGGATCTCACTGGAATGTCTTTCCCCATGATCCAGTTCCTTTTCAGAGCACAGGTTTGTTTCCACTTCACTGAAATGCTACTAATAATATTCTGAAAACAAATCCCCAATGACAGTGTTCCAAGCTGATGTTCTGTTACCTTATTAAGAAGAGTCTAGAAAAAGAAATGGCTAAGTGGCAATTTGGGTTCTGAGTGCTTCTTGGAATTATGGTGAATCCCTTTTGTTTCAGAAGAATCAACAAACTCTGGAACGACTTTGTACAGCAAGTGTATTATTTCTTGAATAACTTCATGCACTATTGCAAAGTGAGTTTCATTGCTCCAGTCAAACATACTAAGACTATATGAAAAGCTAATGTGGAAAAACTGCCAGCACACAGGAATACAAAATACCTTTTGATGCTTGTCATAGGCAGAAGATTAAGAATAATTTATTTAAATGTCTTTTACCAAAGTTAGCTCAAGGCAGTATGCAGTAAGAATATGTTGGAGTTTTTGGTTCTCATATCTAGCTACACTCTGCACATCATATGAAACAGAAATACAAGCAAATTTTGACCTTTAACAATAGGGATTTTTTTTCAAATAAATGTTTTAAGCTACAATTAAGCCAACAGCAAGTTACTGCTACACAACTTAATGGACTATGCTTAATAAAATTTTCAAGTATTATTTATAATAATCAGTATTGTTTTGATGCTCTAGTTTTTTATTTTAACGCTGCACATGGTTTCATTCTAATTCCTGGCTTCATCCTACATCTTCAGTTTCTTCAGCTCAGTCCGTGGCAAGTGTTCAGTGTCCAAAACCCCACAATTCCCAGGATCAGAGGAGGTATGGATCACTATGCCTATCAACAGGCTCATTTTTGTTACACATCTGTGGAAAACAGCATGCAAACCTCCCAGGATTCCACAACCTGCATGTGGAAAGGCACCAGTCTTAAAAAAGAATATCCCATTATTGCTTCCTTTTCCTATTTAACTTGGCTGGATGAGGAGCTACCGCCCAAACTTGCAAAAGTAACGTCTGGCTGACCTATAGCAGACACATCTGCTGACACAGCAGTGTCATTCAGGGTATAAAATTCTGTATTCCTAAGCAAGCAAACCAGCATCCTTTTTGAGACAATAGTTTTAGCTCACAAGTCACCTTGCTGGGACATCTCACCAAGTGACAGCAGTAAAAGCACTTTTCCCAAAGACTGATGGATAAACCACAGATATGACAGGGAGATGTGATGGTTTAGTACTGATATCTTGAAAACAGCACACCTTTCCCATCAATGAGAAACTGCCAACACTTTTACAGAGGAAGTTTGCATCACCACAACCTCTTTGCCCAGATTAACCCCACAGCAGCTCTAATGGTGAGAATAAGGTCATGTACCCCAGACAGTTCACGAACAGAAACTCAGCTGCTGCTCTTCTGCATCTCCACTGCACCACCACCACTACTACATTTTGTGGTCAACAGTTGCCATGATTACTTGCAGCACATCAAGATAAGTACACCAAATCTGTCCCAACCCAGGATCTGTGGTCTCAGGCCTGTGATCTGCAGGGCACAGATGGGCTCCTCCCAGGATGGAATTCCCCCAGGAGCAGGGATCTGTCACAGGTAACACTCACCAGGGCCAGCTGCAACACCTGAACACTGCCAGCTCACTTCCCAGTGCCCTTTGAAGTCCTGACAAACAATTGCCACTGGTATTTTTTCAGCACAATAGGGATCTTTCCTCTGTAAAGTTACTAAATATATACTGCTGGTGTCACAATAGCACAGATCTGCCAGTGTTTCCTTTGAAATCCCTTTCTCCATAAATTTAACTTGACAGAGCAAAACATAAAGTGAACCGTAACTTCTCTCTAGGGTCATAAATAACATCCATTGTGATTTGTTTTTACTTAACAAGTATCTGTTGAATAAATAAATCAACTGAGGAACTTTTTTGTTCCCATTTTAACTTCCAACAGCCTCATCACCATGGCTTCCCAGAGCATTTGTTGGTTGTTTTTCTTCATAACAACTGCAAATAACTCTACAGAATGTCATCGGGTAAACACTTCATTCAGAAGAAAACCTCTTTACAGTCATGCCTCCACACTGCTGCTTTAAAAGTTGCCTAATTACAGTGTAATCTACTTTTGTTACATCTCATGATCTACCCCCTAAATCTACACAAGTCTTTCTACACTATATACCCAGTAAAACTAATGCTTTTTGAGCACATATTTACCAAATAAACCACAAAATCTTCTTCAAAATTCCCTCCTATGCCAAGCTGAGCAATCACTTTAAGCTACATACAAATGCAGCACGGGATCTGAAGCACACCATAAACATTTTGTTTCTCCAAAATGTTTTGAAGGCCTCAACGTGCACTTACGCAAACCAATGTTTAAACTACCTGCAATTATTTGGGAGCGTCACCCAGTGATGAGAGCACAGAGCCAGCAGCCAGGATGGCCGGATTCCATTATTGCTAACTCTGTCACTGACACTCCATGACCTTGAGCAAGTTGGTTAACCTCACCTCAATTTGCTGATCTATGAAGGCACACACATTCTACAAAGTATTTCAGTAGGCGGAAGGTCCCCTTTGAACCCGCAGAACTGCTCTGAGACTTTGCAAAACTGCTACTGCTTAGCCCTTCACAGGATGATGAGAAATGTCACCAGTAACTGTCTCCAGGATGCTGTAAAATGAAATAGTCTCAGAGCATTAACTATTAGCATGGATGACCACACGCATAAATCATGCTGACACTGACAGCAAAGTTTATTAGGAACACATTATTGTTTTAAATGCTGAAAAGGTGACTAACAAAAGGATATATTCAAATGCAACTAAGAGGCATGAAAAGCGGTGAAAAATTAAGTAACAGCTGTGCATTGCTTCTGATCCATTCTGCTACAGGCTCGCAAGTATCCTAGACAAGACGTTCAAGGGCACATGTGCTTTATCTCTATTTCCCCACTCTAAGTTCGTGTTTAATGCACTAAACCGACTGATTTTTAAACGCGTGCTGTGCTCATTAGCGCTGCGCGGCCCCAAACCGCCTGGGATTAACAGACGGGAGCACTCTTCCCTGGGAGAGCGGCGGCAGGAAAGGCGTTCCGAGCCGTGCCTGCTGCCGGCAGGGCACGGCGGTAATTGCACACTCTTAATTGATCCTCTTTGTTCTCCGGCGAGGAGCAGCAGCGATACGGGCTGAGGCAGCTGCGCGATAACGGCGCCTCCCGCAGCCGGCCCGGCCCCGCCGCCCCCGGCCGGCCTCGGCCCCGCGGCGCTTCCCCCGCCCGGCAGCGCCGCGGCACTGGCGGCTCCCCGGGCAGCGCCGGCCCGGCGCCCCTCACCTGCGGGGCGGTGTTTTTAACAAGGCTTCGCCTCATGGCGCGGTTCTCCGGGTCTGGCCCCGCTCGTGTGCGGCCCCGCGCCCCTCACCTGCGGGGAGGTGTTTTTAATAAGGCTTCGCCTCATCGCGCGGTTCTCTGGGTCTGGCCCCGCTCGTGTGCTCTGCCCTGCGGGAAGCTGAGCAGCTCGGGCTCACCTTCTCTGGGTCTGGCCCCGCTCGTGTGCTCTGCCCTGCGGGAAGCTGAGGGCTCACTGCCGGGTCCCGCTGAAGGGTGGGCGAGCG